ATATTGCCAAATCATAGCTGTGCCAAGTGGTTGTCCCAATTTCCTCTCTTGCAGTAGAGTGTGAGCAGTCCTCTGAACTCTACACTCTCAGCAACTCTCATTAGCCTTTCAGTTTGTCTATCTACGTGAAATCAGCATCAATGGTTATTTTGAACAAATGGACTCTCTCAAAGGTCTTCAGTGAACAAGTGGACCATCTCTGGAGATGTTGTTGCCATTCCACTATGTGTTGGACATCATGCTAACTTTGAGTTTTTAAAAAATTTTTTGCAGTTTTGGGGACTGAACTCAGGGGAGTTCCTCTACCACTGAGCTACATCCCTAACCCTTTTTTTTTTTTTAAAGAGAGAGAGAGAGAGAGAGAGAAAGAGAGAGAATTTTAATATTTATTTTTTAGTTCTCGGCGGACACATCTTTGTATGTGGTGCTGAGGATTGAACCTGGGCCGCACGCATGCCAGGCGAGCGCGCTACCGCTTGAGTCACATCCCCAGCCCCCCTAACCCTTTTTTATTTTTACTTTTTTTTTTTTTTTTGGAGACAAGATCTCACTAATTTGCCAAGGCTGGCTTGAATTTACCATTCCCCTGCCTTAGCCTCCCGAGTAACTGGGATTATTGGTGTACATCACTATGTGCTGAGTTCCTACTAACTTTAGAAAGTAGGAGACAAGATTTAGAAGGGGTGATTTATCTGGCTTCACGTGGCTGGTAGCTGACTGTGAGATAGAAGGAGAAAGGGCAAATGTCCTTGTAGGCCTCAGCTTATAGCCTGACAATAGACTCCAGGAGGCAGAGTATGTACCACCCTCGAGCAGTGTCAGCTTTGCATCATTGTGGTCAGGGTGTCCTGTTTGTGTTTTCTCAAACAGCCCAGCAACTGATCTTTAGCACAGGGCAAATGCTGGGGTTGAATACTATTAACATTCCCACTCCTGCAGGTAACCAATGAAACAAACTCCCCTCTTTCATTCAGGAAGCCAGCTTGATGTCTTTTTTTTTTGAGTTGTAGATATACAGAATGCCTTTATTTTGTGTGATGCTAAGGATTGACCCAGTGCCTCACTGGTGCTAGGCAAACGCTCTGCCACTGAGCTACAGCCCCAGCCCCTCTGATGTCTTCTTGTTGAAGCTGTGTCTTCCTTCCTACGGGGAAATCCCAATAAAAGCCTTGCCTATGTGTTTGTTGGCCTGACTTTATTTGGTTTCCATTGCCATCAGGTCAAAAGATTCCAGTGTTGGGCCTCAGTGGGGCTGGGATTTGATATGAACTCAAGTTTGACTTCAAGGTCCCTATATTGCCCATTGGAGAGTTACATGCATATTCTCTAGGAATGGTATCAAGTCAACACTCAGCAGTGATGTTGAATATCTAGTAGAATGCCATCCGAAAATGAACAATATATAGAGAGAATATACCATTTTAAAAAAAATCTTAAAGTAGCCAGGTATGGTGGCACATGCCCGTAATCCCAGGAACTAAGGAGGCCAAGGAAGGAGAACGACAAGATCAAGGCCAGCCTCAGCAATTTCATGAGACCCTGTCTGAAAAATAAAAATTAAAAGGGCTGGGATATAGCTCAATGTCAAAGTGCCCTGGGGGGGGGGTGTCAATTCCCAGTACAAACAGATATGAAAACTTAAAGTGGTATATGATATGAATCATAGAAGATTTTTTTCCCCCTGTTATGGTGCTGATGACACATGCTAGCCTTACCTCTGAGCCACATCTCTAGCCTTTGTAAATTTTATTTTGAAATAGGGTCTTACTAAATTTATCAGGCTGGCCTCAAACTTTCAATCCTTCTGCCTCCTGGGTAGCTGGGGTTATAAACATGTGGCACTGCACCCTGCTGACAGAAGATTTTTAAAATAAATCATAAAAGGGGCTGGGGATATGGCTCAAGTGGTAGCACGCTCCCCTGGTATGCGCGGGGCGTTGGGTTCGATCCTTAGCACCACATAAAAAAATAAATAAAAAATAAAGATGTTGTGTCCATCAAAAACTAAAAAATAAATATTAAAAATTCTGTCTCTCTCTTTAAAAAAATAAAAATATAAAAATAAATATAAATCATAATATTGTGTTCATCTACAAATGAAAAAAATTTAAAATAAAATAAATCATAGAGAGCTTTAATATAAATTGAGAGAAATATCGGCTACAATGATAGACCCAACCTGATCTTTTCTTTAAAATTGGGAGCCATCTCGACACAAAGCCATGAAAAGATAATTTTGGCTTTACTATAAATTACTGCAAATTCTGAACCTGCTTGGAATGCCTGCCTGTGCCTTGAACTCACCCATGCCTGGCTCTCTGAAACTTTAGTGACGCCTCACAAATCTTGGCCTTCCCTGGCCAGATAACGACCCTCTCTGAGGCTCTAATGACCTTCATAAATTCTGATGCTGGGGCCAGCAAAAATGTTCTGCTTGTCAGAGTTCTGTTATCTGTAACCCCCCTTTGTGTAACTTTCTGGGCTATAAAGCTGGGCTGCAGGAAAGCTGCGGGGCTGTCTTGTTCCCGAGGTTTTGGGTGGGAAGGCAGCCCGGCCGGTCGAAATAATGAGCTTGCTTTAATTTGATTTTAATTGGAGTCAGTGGTCTTTTCTTGCATCCTGGTCAAACAACAATTCCATGATCACATGTGATTCAACATTATAACTGTTAACCTTAAACCAATGCAGTGGTGTATGCCCGTAATCCGAGCAGTTCAGGAGGCTGAGGCAGGAGAATAGGAAATTCAATTGGAGCCTGCTCATTAAATTGGAAAAGAAACCCCAGATTAAGAAGAAAAAGCATACACATTTTATTTGATATATATGTGTGTGTGTGTGTGTATTTTTTTTTTTTTTTTGGTGGTGGTGGTTCTGGGGATTGAAACTCTGAGCTACATACTCAGCCCCTTTATTTATTTATTTATTATTTTGAGACAGGGTCTTGCTAAGTTTCCTAGGTTGGCTTTGAACTTATGATCTTTCTGTCTCAGCTACCCAAGTTGCTGGGGTTCCAGGCAGGAGCCACCACATTTGGATGATGTTAATATTTTTTCCTATGAATTCCCATGTGTTATGTAAAGAAGAAAAAAAGAATCCAGAATTCAGGCCTTATATATCTTTTTAACAAAAAGGAATAAATTTGTGGAAAAGTGACTAGATAAAGGAAAAAGCTTAGGCTTGCAGGGGTGGTAAATGGGGTAGACCAGCGGAAATGTTATTGTAGTGAGGTTTGCTTGTGCAGACTCAGTGTCAACTCCTGGTCTATAGCAATGACTTCTCTTTAGTGATAAGAGTAGATTCTGTCCAGTGCCAGGAGGGCACCTTTGTCATAGGAAACCTAAGCTCTGTTTTTAGGGGGAAGGCTTTCTGCGTCTGTTCAGTTGCCTTGAGGTCAAAATAATCAATATGGGAAAGTATGATATTATGGGGAAGCATGCTCTGATTCCCTTCAGTAGTCATCTTAGAGCCCGAAGTGACAATAGCATGATGGGCATTTACCAATCATGAGACATTTCCAAACACCAGTTTTGGTAACTGTTGTGCATATGTTAATGCTTGTCTTTTTAAAACATTTGAGATAACACTCACATACCATAAAATTTACCCCCTTAAAATGCACAATTCAAACTGTCTTTTTAGATGAGGAATGGAGAACTGAATTTTTCTTTTGGATACATGAAAATTACAAAGCTCAATGTCAGTTTAAAGTCTGGCAGTATGTTAATATAGGAAAGCGTGGGTAGGATGTATAGATAAAAGAACATCTTGTGTCAGTTGATAGTATTGAAGCTGGTGACGTACCCATGGCAGTTCATTATACTATTCAGTCTACTCTTTCATATCTTCAAAATTTCCCATAGTAAAAAGTAAAAAACAAGCTTAAAAAAATGGCCTAGCATTACGCTTTAATGACAGATGTTTGTATATTTAGGCATGGAGTAAATGTGAGTCTCTGATGTGAAAATGAAAACTTAATAATATACCATCTTTACAAGACATTTTTTAGTTGGCAAAACATTTTCACATTTTATTTCACAAACACTCTCTAAGGTAGACAGGAGAGACATTACCATCCTAATTTCAGAGGGAAAAAAAGAGAAGTTCAAAGCAAATAGATCTAGCGCTTTAATGCAATCTTCTGATATGGGACTCAACTTCCTTTTTTTTTCAAAATGGATACAGTACCATTGCTTTCTTTCTGATTATAAATATAATCAGGAATACGTTTCAAAGCAGTTTAGAGCCAGATGTAGTGGCACACACCTGGAATTCAGCTACTCAGGAGGCTGAGACTCCTCACTTTAGCTTAGGGGTTTGAGGTCAACAATTTGGGTATATAGTGAGACCCTATGTATGAAAAGGAAAGAAACAACACAAAGTAGAAAAATGAACATTCCCTTTAACATCACCATCAGAGATAGGCACTGTTAACATTTTATATTTTATCCTTCCAAATTTTGTTTTGAATTTTTAAAAATGAAATATGATGATGTTTTATACTTGTCTCCCCCCTCCCCTCCCTCTTTTGTATTGGGGATTGAACCCAGGGGTACTTTACCACTGAGCACATCCCCAGCCCTTTTAAATTTTTTTTTTTTTTTGAGACAGGGTCATGGGATCTTTGTAAATTGCTGAGGCTGACCTCAAACTTGTGATCCTCCTGTCTCAGCCTCCTGAGCTGCTAGGATCATAGGCATGTGCCACTGCTCCCAGCTCTTTATTTCTCTTGAACAATTATGTGTTTTAAATATGTTTCCTTGTTGATAAACTCAGATCTGCGTCTATTGTATGGCACTATCATAACTTACTTAGCTTAATCTCCTTTTGTTACATGTTTAGGTGGTTTCCAATTTTTTGCTTTTATGATCAATGGCAAAATAAACATTCCTGTATCTTAATTTACTCATTAAATTATTTCCTTGGGATGCCTAAGAATGGAAAATCTAGGTCAAAGGATTTTGATTCCTATTGCTGTTAATTTTGGAAATGTGTGGACTTACATTTTCAACCGTCTTCGGTTATTCTTTTCCTTCACTAATTCATAGTGGCTTCTTGTGAGACAGATGTAATGCAAACATGCCAGTGAAAATATAATTTGTTAATCTTTAATCAAGTTGAACTGTTGAGCAAACCATCAATAAACAACTAACTATGTTTGTTTGAAGTAATGATCTTCAAACTTTAGCAAGCATAAAAATTACCTGGTGATCCCTGGAATCTATCCCAGATATACTGATTTAGATTTTAGGGGCCTGGGACCCAGGTATTGTGTTCAGTTATGTATGTGCAGTTTTAAGAGTCCCCTCTCCCCCAAGTGACTCTACTGTAATCTAGGGAATTAAACTTTGAGAAACACTGGCTTAAGAATTCACAGGGGGTGTGGACTGGGGGGGTTGTGGCCCAGTTAGAGCGTTTGCCTAGCATGCTTGAGGCACTGGGTTCAATTCTCAGCACAGGTCCATTGACAACTTAAAAAAAAAAAGAATCCACACAGGGATAGGTCCAGAAGGTGCTGCCTGTGGGCCTTATTAACTTTTGGTCATATGAGTCTGGTAAGAAATTGAAGACTGAAGGACTGAGTAGTACACACCTATAATCCCAGCTACTCAGGAGGCTGAGGTAGGAGAATCTCAAGTTTGAGGCCAGCTTCAGCAACTTAATAGATACTGTCCCAAAACAATAAATAAGAAGGGTTAGAGCCGGGTGCAGTGGAGCCTGCCTGTAATCCCAGCAGCTAGGGAGGATGAGGCAGGAGGATCTTGAATTCAAAGCCAGCCTCAGCAAAAGTGAGGTGCTAAGCAACTCAGTGAGACCCTGTCTCTAAATAAAATACAAATAGGTCTGGGGTTGAGTGCCCCTGAGTTCAATCCTGGTACCCGCCCCCCCACCAAAAAAAAAAAAATCGAAATAGTCACTTTCTTTTATTTTGGCCTCCTCCATCTTGTTTCTTTCTTACACTACATGCCCACACCAAATATTTTGTGGAGAAAACAAACACTTGGCTTTTTTTTTTTGGTATGAGATTCAACCCAGGAGCCTTAAATATACAGAGCAACATTCCCAACCCTTTTCAAATATTTTATTTAAAGACAGGGTCTCCCTGAGTTTCTTAAGGCCTTGCTAAATTGTTGAGGCTGGCTTTGAACTTGCAATCCTCCTGCTTCAGCCTCCCTAGCCACTGGGATTACAGGTGTGTGCTACTGCACTCAGCTAACACTACTTATGACTATGCCTTTATAGCAGGCTGCCATGATCAGTTATAGACAAAGAGTTGATTTACAGCGATTCCTCATTGGGACTTTTGGTTTTGTTTTGTTTTGCTCTTTTCCAAACAGGCATCTCTGATGTTCCTAACCAATTGGGCACCTGAAAGTCATGTAATTTTCCTTTATTTTCTAGAAACTGAGACTGTCTTGAAAGTGTCCTAGAAGTTCTATAGTATGAGGTATGAGAAGACTGGAGGCAAATGTGTCCACTGGGCCTTGGAGAGGGATGTCCCTGCGTTGTCATTACCTGTGGTCCTGGCCCTTCCTTTGAAATTCAAACGGGCTTTTCAGGCATTGACCTGTCCAACACAGCTTCTCTTGGCCCAGCTTCAGAAAAACAGTTTTGATAATTTTCTCCTTGAAAGTCTGATTTTGATACAGAGGCTTCATTTCTCATGGGACCCTTTTCAGCTTTTCCATGTGTGCAGGTGTGGAAAGCAATTCAGACAAGGAGCTTCACAGACAGGTGTGCCCTTGAGAAAGGAGTGCTACACGGAGGGCTGGGTGCCTGCAGTCTTGCTCCTACCCAGACGCCTGCCTGGGCCCTGCTGTTGAGGGTCCAGCATTCCCAGCCACCAGGGCAGCATTACCCACAGACACCTAGGGCTGACTTGTGTCTCAGGATCAAGTCCATGCAGACCATTCAATCACCTGATAAGTAAACCTTGCTAGTGGGAAAGGACCGGACAAGTGGCTTTTATCCCTAAAAACAAAAAACAGCTCTATCTCATAATCTCCAGTCAGTTATGATAGTCAGGTTATTTATGCTGTGTGCTTGTCTCTACAACATGCTGCACACTGATATGGTCACAAAACCAAGGGTTCTGTTAAAACACACACGCACATTTTGTTGAGATATAATTTATAAAACAATAAAATTTTTTGCAAATATATATGCTCACGTAACCCTTACCACAATTAAGATGTAATCCTATCATATATATAAATAGCAATCCTATTTAATATAGTGTGCGTGTGTGTGTGTGTGTGTGTATCAGAAGAACACAATGCATTCATTTATTTATTTTTATGTGATGCTGAGGATCGAACCCAGGGCCTCACACATTTTAAGCAAGTGCTCTACCACTGAGCTTCAACCCCAGCCCTGTATCTGGCTTCTATCTTTCTTTGTGTTTTTCTGTCTCTTTCTTGTTTTCAGTGCTGGGGATTGAACCCAGGGGTGCTCTACCACTGAACCACATTCCCAGCTCTTTTTATTTTGAGACAGGATCTCACTAAGTTGCTCACAATGGCAGTTAAAAAAAAATCTGATTTTTTAGTATGCCAAATCCATATCCTATGCCAAAAATTTCAGCTTCCTGTTTCTGTGGTTAGGTTGGGAAGAGCACTGTTTTAAGCGTTGGAAGCTTGGGGCCTGGCCTAAGCAGCTTAGTTCCAGATCTAGGTTTTAAAAAAGGGGTCATTTAGTTTTTCAGAGCTTTAGTTCTATACTTTAAGTTGGAGCTAATAATTTCTTATGGAAATAAAAATTTGAAGTAGTCTTATTTTTTATCCATAGGGGACAGGTCAAGTAATATACTGAATAAATACTGTTGGAATACTGAACTGTTGTTAAAAATGATGATGCAAGGGGCTGTGTCGTGGCTCAGAGGTAGAGCGCTCACCTAGCATATGTGAGGCACTGGGTTCGATCCTCAGCACCACATAAAAATGAAATAAAGATGTTGTGTCCACCGAAAAACTAAAAAATAAATATTTAAAAAAAGATTTAGGGGCTGGGATTGTGGCTCAGCGGTAGAGCGCTTGCCTAGCACGGGCGGGACCTGGGTTTGATCCTCAGCACCACATAAAAATAAAGGCATTGTGTTAAAAAAAATTTTTTTAAATGTATTGTGTCCATCTACAAACAAAAAATAAATATACAAAAAGATGATGCAAATCTGCACTTATTGATAAGGGAAGCTGTTGTTGTCAACATGCTCTAAATGAAAAAAAAAAAAAAATCCAGGCTAGAAACAGGCAAATTATGCAAATGGAGAGGTAAATGAAAAACACATTGACAGAAACACTTCCAGTGGGTGGTTGTCTCTGGATAGTGGGATTTAGGATAATTTTTACTTTCTTCTTTTTTGCAGTACTGGTGATGGAACCCTGGGGGCTCTACACTGAGCTACATCTCTAGCCCTTCTATTTTTTATTTTGACAGAAAGTCTTGCTAAATTGCTTAGGCCTTGCTGAGGCTGGCCTCAAACTTGTGATCCTCCTGCCACAGCTTCCTCAGCTTCTGGAGTTGCTGAAAATACAGGCACGCACCCCAGTGTCTGGATTTACCTTCTTCTTTATACTTTTTTTTATATTGCTTAGTTATTCATAACAAACATGTATGATTCTTTCACAAGTAATAAGGGTATTAAAAGCTGGGTGTGGTGGCATGCCTGTAATCCTAGTGACTCAGGAGGCTAAGACAGGAGGTTTGCAAGTTTGAGGCCAGCCTCAACAACTTAACAAGGCCCTAAGCAAGTTAGTGAGAACCTCAAAATAAGAAATAAAAAGTGCTGGTTATGTAACTCAGTGATTGAGTGCCTTTGAGTTCAATAAAAAAAAAAAAAGTTCAAAAAAAAAAGTATTAAAAAAATAACTCAATATAACCTTTTATTCCCTTAAGGGTAAGATGAAAGAATCTATGGATATGTTGAAAAGCTACAAGGTATTATATTAACTTGAGGAATTAGTATTAATATCAGCAGGTAGTCATCCGTCAGTCTCCTTTAAAAAGATCCTGAAGATGATCAAAGGAATCCAATGAAAGGAAATTATGATAGTTCTGTAGAAACACAACCAGTTGAACATGGTAAAAAGATAAAATTCTTAGAATGGGGGCTGGGGATGTGGCTCAAGTGGTAACATGCTCACCTGGCATGAGCGGGGCTCTGGGTTCGATCCTCAGTACCACATAAAAATAAAATAAAGATGTTGTGTCCAGAAAACTGAAAAATAAATGTTAAAAGTTCTCTCTCTCTTAAAAAAAATTCTTAGAATGGAAAGAAATCAGAGCATTGACTTTCTGAACATCTTGAACAGTCTTTAAACCCTCCATCTCTATTTTCCTATCTGCAAATTGACATGATAGTAATATTGAAATCATTTCGTTGTGAGGTTTAAGTGAATCTAAGCACTTAGCATGAGCAACATCTGGCACATTGGTGGGTTTCATTAAATATTTGTTCCTTTCTCTCTTTTCCTTTCTCACTTAACCTGAGATCAGGCAGCAGGATGTTGGCATATGGGAAACAGTTGGAAGAAAGAGTAAAAAGAACGCTTATAGTAAAAGAGGGGACATCCTTTTCTTTTTCATGTGGGAGAGGTAAGGATTTGGTGTTTACTTGGAAGGTATTTTGGTTCAAGTAAACTAAGGGGCTAAGAAGGCAAGGGAGGGAAAGAAAAAGATAGAATGGACTACTTCTAGGTGTATTTAGGCCAAAAAACATGAGACAAAGACAGGATTATTTTGCCTAGTCCCATACACCACAGTAGAAAAAAACAGACCAAGGGAATCATATGCTCTTCCCAGAAAAAGATAACTCAAAGCTATCTTTTTGTTATACAGGTGCCCTTCTACAGCCATACCACCCTGAACATGCCTGACCTCGTCTAATATTCTGGTGCCCTGTCAAGAGCTATTGCATGTGGGTCACCATGCATGGAAGCCTCATGGGTAGAGACATCTGGTGTCTGGGAATGGCCAGTGGACATTTCCTCTAGTCATTTGCTTAGGGAAAAGTTATGGAGGCATTGTCTCATCTCTTTTCTGCTGCGCAGTGGCCCATACAGCACCTGAGATGG